CTCGGCTAACATTCTCCGACTTCGACACATGGATGAATGGACCTGAGGCGGCTAAGGTGCCAAATCAGATACTTGACGTGTTGAGGCAACACCGAGAATTATTCCCCGACAGCCTGCCCGACGGCTTGCCGCCCAGGAGGCCTTACGACCACCGCATCCTCCTCGCGCCCGGAAACCTCCCAACACGCGCACCAATATATAAAATGCCTCCTGATCAGATAAAACATCACAACCAGGAGATCGCTTGTTTAACAGCTAAGGGGTGGATCGGGCCTACCTATTCTCCTATATGCGCACCCACCATCATGGTCGACAAAAAGGAGGATGGCAGCGGAGAACGCAAAATGCGCATGGTCGTCAACTATCAGGCCCTCAACGCGTTGACGATCGCGCCAGAATTCCCCATGCCTAGCGTCCAGTCGGTCCTTGAGATGCTAGGTGGGGCCACTGTCTTCTCCACGATGGATTTAGAGGCGGGCTTCCACCAAATCCGCATGGCCCGTACGGACAGGTGGAAGACAGCCTTTCGCTCCGTGCAAGGACTTTACGAATATAAGGTCATGCCGTTCGGCCTGAAGGGTGCACCAGCCACCTTCCAAGCCAATATCAATGCGTATCTGCAACAACTCTTGGGTAATGGGGTGATAGCTTATCTCGACGACGTTTTAACCTATAGCGCGACCTTAGAGTCGCACACCCAACTTCTCAAACAGGTCTTAGGGATTTTTCTACGTCACCAATTTTATCCGAAGCTCGCGAAGTGCAGGTTCGGACAGCGGGAGTTAACATACCTGGGCTATCGAATAAGCGCGGATGGCATTAAGCCCACAGCGGACAAGGTTGAGGCAATCTCCATGTGGCCTGAGACCCTGGCAAATGAAACCCAAGTCAGACAATTCCTCGGTACGGTAAATTATTGCCGCATGTTTATGGGACCTACGTTTGCTGAAGTAGCAAGACCTCTAGTTGACTTAACCCGAAAGAACGCAACATTCACCTGGACAGAAAAACACACAGCAGCCGTACGGCGCCTTAAGCAACTCCTCTCTGAGTATACAACATTGCAGATCCCGGATCCTTCTAAACCATATAAGCTCTACACGGAGGCGTCCGGGTATGCCATCGGGGCAGTTCTGGAACAGGATGCCAAACCTGTGGGATTTCTCAGCCAAGTAATGAGTCCCACACAACAGCGGTATTCTATCTACGACCAGGAATTACTCGCTCTTATCACAGCCTTACACAAATGGCGTCATTGGCGTGGCGTCATCTTCTCCGCGGCGCTCGGGTCACAGCGTACATGGATCACCAAGCATTGACATAGCTGCAGCAGATTAATGCGCACAAACCACTGCGTGGCCGCACGGCACGGTGGCTGGACTTTCTCGCGGACTTTCCACACCTCACCATAACGTACCTCCAAGGCGCCCACAACACAGTCGCCGATGCCATGTCCAGACACCCGCAGCACCAGCCAACAGCGCTCAAGACGCCCCATCCTTCCCTAACCCCTCTTGTCCACCTTCGAGAAGCGCCCACGCCCCCCACCTCCCGCTACCCCACCGGCTCCTCCTCGGGCAACTCACCTCGTATCGACTTCCGGGCGATTGCTGGACTTCGCTCTCAACGAGCGCGCGTTCGACGTCACTCATCCCCCGGCCCGTCATCCCAGTTGCCGACCCAGCCCCGGGCTACCTTGGAAACGCACCCCCGTACGCCCAACCCTCCGGCCTCTCCGACTTCCCCGCCGAGCACGGAGCAGCCAGTCGTCACCGCGTACACAGAGTCGGTTCCGGATTCGCCCTCGGTATCAGACTTTCTGACCCCCCAATGCTGGAGGAGAGTTACAAACGCTGCCCCGTTTTTCGCGATATCATTCTTGCGGCAGACCGACAGGACTCGGTGGAATTTCCTCACCAGCTTCAGGGCAGACGCTACCGCTTCAAGTTCTGCCGACCTTATCTACATGTCTGCATCCATGGCCTATGGCGCATCTGCCCCCCAACTTTGCCTGAATTCCTCTCTCACCTCCTCTACCGCCACCACGACCATGTAACGGCAGGCCATCGCGGGGAACGCAAGACGT